GAGATCACAGTCTTCCTCCATCACATATCCCTCTCCTGTCATGCACTTCCTCCCCACAGGCACAAAGGCAAAGGGGTCAAGCAAGCATAGACCAAAACCAACAAAGCTAACACAGATGCTAAATCCTAAAGATACGTCACCACCACCCCTTTCCTTTGTGAAGGAAAAGACAGGTCCTCTGTTTATCAGGACAGTGTTATGGCTGACAGGGGTTGGAGGACAGTGATGAACATCTGGAGCTGGCAGGAACAGATCTGCCACCAGGCATGGGTTCTCTGCACACGGCTCAGTCACAATCTATGGTAGCAATAATTAAATGGTGTGACTGTGTCCGCAAGGTGCTTCCAAGAACAGGGGATAGAAAATGGTGGCTCAGGTTAAGGATGGACAGACAGATGTATCAGAAGCCACTGTCTGAATGCCAGGGACAGTGAGGCAGAAATGATTACAAAGGCTTCTAGGCAGACAGTGTTGAGGCCCGTGTGGGTCCAACACAGATTCCCTAACTGGACTGGAACGGAGTCGCGAGAAATAAACCGACGCAGCTTACACGGTCATCATGGAAGGGCAAGATCTCTCTCCAAGATCTCTTGTTTATTATCCAAATACCTTATATATCCTCACATCAATTGAGCGGGAAAACACATTAGGCTGTCTCCTAGGCAACCAGGTGAATGGGCTCAAGTCATGTCCACATCTACCTGTATACTAGCAGTCACATAGGCCATGAATTAGCATCTCTATAAACATCCTCCAAATTTCAAAGGAAGGAAGCACCAAACCTCTTAAGTCAACAGCTTCAGCCAGCATCTCTTCTCAGATGATCTACATTTATAACAAAAGAAACTAGGTGCAGCAGATCCTGGCTATTGTTAGGCAGAGACAGCTTGTCTGCAGAGTTTGTGACCACCTCAGACAGGGCTAATGGCTCTTGTGCCGTACAGAAATATGGGCCTACAAGACAGGACTCAAAGAGTGGTCTTTGACAAGTCACTGCTTCTTAAGGAACAGTGGGAAAGATGGAGGAATGCACTCACTGAGTGAAACTGTGAAGTTCCCATCATCAGAACTGGCCTACGTCTAGGCCAGTGGTGGGTCTAAGGCTGCGTCTGAAGATGTGAACTCTAAGGTGAAGGTCACAAAGCTGCAAAACGTGAAAAATACTCAGAGGCCAGGGTGGTGTTGTGTGGCATGATGGCAGGGGATACCAGACAGATGAGGAGGAGTGAAAGAGCCACCTTTTTAAAGAGCACAGGGCAGTGACCTAAAGATGCTGGCAAGAGCAGCCTCTGAAGTCATGAGCAAACAGTTCGAGTCTCAAACAGAAGCACTACTGAGAGGAAAATAAATGACTTACTTTCAGTCTTTTTAACCCCTGTTACTCAGCCGCCTACTAATCTCTCTGCTGTATGGTTTTGGGTTTTGTTTGCAGTGAGGAGACCAAACCCAGAACCTCACGTGTGCTAGGCGAGCATACCTCCTGTGAGCTACCTCAGTCTCTCAGTCTCGGTAGATTTGCATGATTTGGGGGTCATCCTCTCCTACATGAGCACACCCTTCCACAACCAAGTCCTCTCGTTTACTCTTCTTTAATTTTTCCTTCAAATTCTAGACCGTAGGACTATAAATCATTTAGCCAAAAAAAGAAATGAAAACCATCTCTACCGTCCATCCTTACTTCGCATCCAGGCTGGTTCCTGCTCCTACCCGAGGGCTCTCAATGCGCTCTCCAATAAAAACCAGTAATAAAAGACCACCTGAAGCCATGGTGCTGGCACAAGCCTGCTATCCATGAACTCGGGAACGGGGGTATATCATCAAATGTTCCAGGCCAAGACAACAAAACCCGCTTTCAAAATCTTTTAAAGGGCTGGGGATATATTAAGTGGTAGAGTGCTTGCCTAGCCCTGGGTTCAATCCCCAGTATAGAAAAAATAGATTTGAAAAGCCTTAGCACAAGTTCTGGTATGCAGTAATTACCATAAAAAAATGAATATCATTAACTTTGGAATTCTTCTGATTTCAGGCTGTCTGGAAGCTTCTGTTTCCTAATTCTTTTTATTTATTAAGCACAATTTAAATTTTTATGAACCCTTATTACAAATAAATCATTTAGGCTGCTTGACTTTGTAAATCAATCTAATAACGTTCACTTTGAATTAAATAAATCATTTTAATTCTATGTACTTTGTTATACACTTTAATTCATATTCCTTAATAAACACCCATACATTAGCCCTTCTGTCATGCATAAACTTTTTATTAAAATTCTCAATGATTCTAATGAAATCAAATCGCAAAAGTAAAAAAAATAACAGCACCACTGAATCCTAAGCAAAACCTCCTTACCAACGTGAGAACTGGACATGCACCAAAGCAGCTTACAGTTTGTTGTACATAAGTTTTAGAGACATGTAACGGCGGGGCTTTATGCACAAAGGAGAAGCTGCTCAGAGTGGTAGCTGTTGGCCCCTGGACTTGCTGACCTCCCCCATCCCACCTGTCACACCAACTTTCACATTCTCTTCTTACTAATCCAGTCTTAAAGCTAAATTCAACTCCCCCTTATCCAGGGCAAAGGTTCAGAGAGAGGGAACATAAGGACATTTCTAACCCTGACTCCGAAACTGCACCACTATTCCCGGGCTAGGAAATGCTCGCTCGGCACCTCTTCCCCTTCTCTCCATGGCCTTCCACCAGGGCCATGGAACCTCAGTGCTTAGGTTTCCATATACAGCCGTGTGTGACGGAAACGTTTCTCTGTGGTGCCATCAGGAAAGCGGAAACACGGCTTACACACTTGGTTGGTTGAAAAAATTGTTTGGAAGACAAGACAGTAAAAGTTCAATACTAACTTTCTTCCGCGAGAGTCAGTTTCACTGAAATTGAACAGTTTGTATCCAGCTCAAGGGTCTCTGTTTTCCTTAAGGTTCTGTGCAAGGAAGGTTAGCTACAAGCAGAGATTAAGAAGTAAACAACAATGTTGGTGTAGGTTTACCAATACTTTCCCTGCACCACGAATAACTTTGTAACAATAGCAGGAGCCAGAAAAGTGGGATGTCCAGGACACACCATGGAAGTTTTCATTTGGGGAGAATTGGGGCGGAAAAAAACAAACACTTATGGGCAGGGGCCTTAAAGAACACATGGATCCTAACACATAGAGAAGGTCCCAAACCAAAACCCAACAAATACCAAAATATGAATGCTTCCTCTGGGAAAAAAGCCAACTGAAAGACAGAAAAGAAAGATTAGTTCGAGCCGAACATCAGAACAGGTGGGACTCAGTCGCTCCATGTTAGTCCAGATTCTGGTGCTTCTCATAACAGAGGAATGGAGTTGTAGCTCAGTTACAAAGCCGTGGGCCCTCAATTTCCCAGTGGCCTAAATCAATCCCCAGTCCAGGACAAGATGCTGAGCAAGATGCTAATTATTTCAGGCCACTGGGGTAAGCACTATTCCTGGCCACTGCGAGCAGCACCATGGATGAGGGTTTCTGATTCTCTTTGGTGATTTGGCTCAGTGTAAACAGAATTTTTTTTCTGGTCTTTCAGACAGATAGGCAGGAAAGGCTCCAGATCTGAGAGAGGCCACTCTGCTCAGGAAAGACTCTGTTTCCCTTGTGTCTTTTTGACACCTTTCCTTACATTTTTATCTGATTATCAACTACCCAGTGAGCATCCTGTGTGTTCACTTGGTCAGGCAGGGGAAGAGCAGAAATGCATTGCAGAGCTGTTTCTCTGAGAGGCCTTCTGAGACCCTGGCTTGTGACTTCCCCCACTGACACTGGGAATTGAAGGGAGACCCGTTGAGAGAGCCTTTACTTAGTGACCCAACTCCCCTATTGCTAATTCTTGAATTCTTCACCGGGAACTACCATCATCACAATATACCAAGTGTTTACCTACACAGAAAGAAAAGGGCAATCCTGGTATTTCCGTTCAGAAAATGACGAGAAAGGTTGAAAGGTTTGGAGGTTTCTGGAGTGAGTTCTGCAAGGCAGTGCTGCTGCAGGAGAGTGGATCAGCTGACACCTGCCCTGGGTTTAGTAGGTCACATCTTCTTTGTCCCTTTAGAGGGGTGTTTTACTTTCCATAACTCCCCTTGAAAACTTCTGTTTACTTTCTTAAACCGTGGGCACCACTGGAGAGGTCCCAGGTGTACATTCCAGGCACTCAAACAATATACACACACTGAGCATGTTTGGGTACCCAGCTCCAGGCTGAAGAATTTTTGAAGTTGAGAACAGATGAGGGAACGGGCTGGAATGTAAAAGGCAATGCCCTATGCGCCTGCAAAGCCAGATATAAAACCTATCATTATTACAAAAAAAAAAAAAAAAAAAAAACCTAACCAATTTACACCATGCTTTTTCAAACTGCATTGCTCGCTCTCGGAATCTTTATTAAAGAAATGCAAACATGTGCCCTGAAATGGGTAGGTGTAAAAGAACATTCTGCACAATTATATCTAGGCTGCCACAGATTTATCACATGCAGACATATATTTGGAGCATATTAATTCATGGTGACAGCTGCGCATGGCAAATCCAACAGTGCACAAGTTGGAATGCTGGAGAAAATGCAACTACAAACCCCATGCCGACACACACACATACGAGTTTCCCCCTCTCCATACACGTGGCCTCACTTACTGAGATTTAACACAACTGAAAAGCCCCCAAACACCGGAGATTCCCGCAGGCGAATGCTTGCCCCCCCAACACCGGCAGCCGCGCTTTCATCCACAGGCTTGACGGTCGCACGTCCCAGAGTACACTCGCCCTCCCACCCACGTCCTTCTGCGCGGACACACGTGCGTCCAGCGCTCGCGCGCCAGCAGCCGGCGGGGAAGCGCGGCTCCGGGGGCTGGGGGCAGGGCCCGGCGGGCGGGCGGGCGGGCGCGTCGTGGGGCCGGGCCTCGGCGCCCAGGGAGGGGACTAGGGGCGGGCGCGGGGCGGCGCCCGGCTCACGTGGGCGGGCGGGAGCAGCTGAAGGTCCGCTCGGGAGCCTGGGCTGTCCTCTCGCGCGCGGCGCTGGCCGGGGCGGCGGCGGAGGAGGCGAGAGGCGGCGGGGGCGGCGGCGAAAGAGGAGGGGAGGACGGGGGCGGCGTCGGACTGGAGCCGATCGGCGGTGCGAGCTGCCCGGGGCGCAGTCGTGAGCTCGCCCGCCGGGCCCCCACTCCTGAGCTACACCCTGCCGTGCCCAGCTCTGCCGGCGTCCGTGCCCCCGCGGCGAGCGCGCCGGGGCTGCCCCCCGAATGACGGGCGGAAGGTTCGACTTCGACGATGGCGGCACCTACTGCGGCGGCTGGGAGGAGGGCAAGGCGCACGGGCATGGCATCTGCACGGGGCCCAAGGGCCAGGGCGAGTACTCTGGCTCCTGGTCGCACGGCTTCGAGGTGGTCGGAGGCTACACCTGGCCCAGCGGCAACACCTACCAGGGCTACTGGGCTCAGGGCAAGCGGCACGGGCTGGGGGTGGAGACGAAGGGCAAGTGGATGTACCGGGGGGAGTGGTCACATGGTTTCAAGGGGCGCTACGGGGTCCGGCAGAGCATGTCCACCCCCGCCCGCTACGAGGGTACCTGGAGTAACGGGCTGCAGGACGGGTACGGCATGGAGACCTACGGGGACGGAGGTGAGCAACGTCGCGGGCGGTTCCGCGGGCTAGCGCGGTGGGCTCTCCTGGGCTGCGGGGACATGGGGAGGACGCGAGGCGCACGTGTCCGGAAACCCGCCAAAACACCTGGGGAGCTTCCCACCCCTCCCACCACCACCACCACCTCCACCCCTCGGGAAGACTGCGTGGGTACGCGACTGGGGAGCCAGGGTCTGCTGCGATCTGGTTCCCCGGCGAGCGGGGTGTCCACACCCGGGGAGTTAGGCGTGCGTGTACCTGGCTGGGGCCAGCGCTGCGCTGCCATCAGGAGGGCTGGGCAGGAGAGAGGACGCTGTCACTTGAGCCCGTCACATTACGTTCCTGATCCCTCCCTCTCCGGGCCGGGTTTGAAATCGCCACTGTTGGTGGAGTTAGAAGGACGCCTTGGGCAGCGCGGCTGCCGGTCTGTGCTGACCGTCCCGCGGTTTGGTTTCATGCGGAGTCTCGTATTTCGCTTCTGGTCCTCTAGTTAGCCTAAAGATAGAAGCCAGAACCCCATAAGTAGGATGTTGGGGAGTTGGACCTTATGGAGGGTGTATTTTGAAGTGTCCTAGTTATGGGCAGCGAAGCGACCACCCAAAGCAGGTGAAATTCTTAATTTTCTCTCTAATTTGGCTCCGTGAAGTACTTTTAATTAGCAGAACTGTAATCTTTGCTGACCTGGAGATCTTTGGGCAAATTACTGCTAAAAGCGCTTTAGGAAAAAGGCGACAGAATTGCCATTTTTAAAAAAGAAAAGAAGTTTAAAAGAGTGTAGAGAATGCTATATTCCTAATATACATTAAAGGGTGTGGCCTAAACACACCTGAATGCAATTTAACAATGTTCGCCATGTAAACTGTGTATATTATAAGTCAGGATTCATTTTTTTCTCTCTAGGAAGAGCATACATTAGTGAAACAGGTGTCAAAACTTGATTAATTTCTTTGAAAACAAAGTCGAGGGAGACGAATGGCTTATGTTTTGGCAAAGTAATTTTTCTGATAATAAACAGAATCATATTTAATTGAAAAGGGTTGTAGGAGGCTCTGTCACCTTTTGGAATTAAGCCGCTTCAGAGCTGGAGGATAGTGAAGGGATCCAATTAAAAGTTTCTCCAGCCCACTGAAATCCCGTTATGCGATTGCTTATATAAAAGCTTATACAATTTGTACACTTCACTTGCTCAGAACACTTGGGCCGTGTTTCAAATGCAAAACAGCAGAATGGTAGGATTTAAAAAAAAAGACATCTTTTCACCCTCCAGTATAAATAAAGGCTATGGGTTTCATGGATTAAAGGGGGGAGGGTCTTTATACTTTTCTATGGACCCTGAGTGCCTTGGTAGTTAACAGGGACCTTGAGGGTTTGAAACTAGCAGAAAATAACTTGCTAACAGCGTTATGAATGTTTGTTTCTGACTGGATTTTATTGGGAGCGCTAGCTCTAATATAACAAATTTCTATGTTCATCGGTGGAAATTTGTTTTTAATGTGATCGTTGTATAGCCCTTATTTAAAGAGCATAAAATAGACTTATATTTATTGTAATCTAGTTACAATATAGGCTTCTTTTAAAAGTTAAAACTCATTCAATGAAACCTGGTGGTTTAGAGTATCCATTATACCTAGTAATCAAAACACAGAGAGCACAGTAAAAGTCATCGCTGTGCTGTGCTGTTTGTAAGGCCAAATACACCTCCAATGGCTATGAATAATCTGCCTTCTGCTTGAAACCAACTTTGAACATTTTAAAAGACAAAATTGGGCATCACCAAAGCACTGTAGATTTCCTTTTCTACCAAAAAAAATAAATAAATAAACAAGAAACCCTGGTGTGCTATAATCAGAACAAAATTTCAAATGCAGTTCCCTTTTGCCTTCTCTGGGCTCGTCAGTTTCTCACGTCCCACATTTTATTAGAAAGTTAGTGATTTAAAAAAAAAAAAAGCCGGTCTAAACGGAGCTATAGTGCCACAGTTTATTCATATGGAGGTTTAGTCCAAGTGGAAGTGGGAGCATCAGCTTCTTTATTCCTAAGCGTTAGCTTAATCCTGCCTCCCTGCCCGTGCATTTCGGGTGACAGTAGAGAGGGAAGTCGTAATTCCCTGTGAGAAGTATCACTTTATTTCACTAGAGATTTCTGTCAAGTGTGGCTGAAATAGAAACTCCCTAAATATTAAGAACCAAATGCATCATATTCATGAAATTCAAGTCTAGATTCCCAGATTCTTTTCTGCAAATTCCAATCTGCTATACTTTTTTAAAAACCTGCTATAAGACTATGGAAGATATCTATAAAGATCCACTGTTCTGTTTATGTATTTGGGTGAGGGGTCACTTTGTAGCCCAGGCTAGCTTCAAGCTGAGGATGACCTTGAACTATAAGCATTCTGCATCTACCTCTCCGGGACCAGGTGGGGATGGAATCTAGGCATCATTCACACTAGACAAGCGCATCACCAATAGAACGACAACTTTCACCTCGTCCATGTGTTTCTGTTTTCTTTTCCTTTTTAACAGAATTATAGCTGCATATAGCCTTTCAAAGCATCTAAGTTTGACACACAGAAGTCCAAGTTTGGCTAAAATTCATTCCAATCTGGATGCCATTCATTACAATATTGTGCAGTTAGATAGATAGATCTTTAAAAAAAAAATCAGTTCTCAAATAAACACAATGTAAAATAAAACCTGAAAAAACATCTTTTGTTTTCATATTAGATACGCACTGGAGTTTAGGGGTGGAAAATAGTAAATCACATCTCCCTTTGAACAAAAGAACTTGGAGATCACCTGCTTCATAAAGAAATAGGTTCTGTTCTCTAGGTTCATTGACTAAAGCAAACCTCTTTAAAACTTCAGATCAACTACTTAGAATTTGAACAAGCTGGTTTCTAGTGGTGCTGTGTACGTCCTGGAGTAATTCTCTCCAATACTGTGATTTTTACAGCATCATGGAAGGTGATGGGCACCTTTGTTCCTTGTCCCTGCCCTATTTCATAGCCCCAAAGATATTTAAGCTTTCTAATTACTGCTATTCTTTAAACAGCCTGAATGTTGAAGCTGCTCTTTGGAAAGTCTAAGTCCTGGTTTGATGTTGGAGCTGTCATTTGGAGGAAAGTGGGCACTGGTTGTCCATCAGTGTTTCTGATCTGCTAAGATGGGATTGTTATGTTTTAAATACTTACACCAAAGAGCATCTTTCCAAATTATTTTAGCAAACTCATTCTGTAGAAAAGTTAGAATGGGATAGGAATATGCCATTTTAAAACAATAAAATGTTGGTGATTTGTTTTAGTGTGTGTATAAGGTTAAATAACTTTCATCATACTATTTAGATTTTATCTAGGAAAAGTCAAAGTTGAAAGTTTTCAATAATTCAGTGTCTTTTCCTATTGGGGCAGCAGTGTTTGGAGAGAGCTGTTTTTCATTATCATGGAAAACAAAAAACCCTTAACTTTTTTTTTTTTTAGACAGGGTCCATCCAGCTGTGTAGCCCAGACTGGCTGGGAGCACATGACCCTCCTGCTGCCTCAGCCTCCCAGCTGCTGACATTGTGGGCATGTATTCCCATACCCAGCTCCTGAAACGTTTGTATGTAACAGTCTTACCCTGTTTAGAGAGCTGCTGTGCCCCACCCCCTCAGGAGTTCACAGGTATGAAGATCTGCCTAGACTATGGCAGTCATGGTACCAGACCCCTTCATAGTTCATAGTTGCCCACTGTTGTTGGTTTATATGATATAAATATGTCAGCATGAGAAGAGAAGATGGGCTTGAAATTGATCCAGACCTTTGTCTTAGGAACAGTGCCTATTTACACAGCGATGTAACACCACTAGCTCACACGGGCATGGTGATGCGTGCTTGTAATCCCTGCATGTCGGAGGCTAAAGCAGGAGGATTGGGAGTTCCAGGCTAACCTGAGTTACGTACTAAGACACCGCCTTAAGAAATAACAGTACTCCCAAAGGAATTAACACTTTTTGTATTAAAAATAAATATATTCCAACCACTGGAAACCTACAAGGTGATGTAAAATACGAAGTATAATCAAAAGACAGAACATGATCAACATAGACTATAATCATGATTTATTTTCTGTGACAATGGAAATTGTTATGAACAACACCAAAGTAGTTACATTTAAATTTTCTTCCAGATAGCTGTTCTGGGGTTATACTAAGGATAAAAATTTGCCTTTAACTAAAGAAAATGGCCTTGACTTTGAAAATTCTAAGCTCCTTAGTTTAGCCTTCATTTCCTCCAAAGAATATTCTAAAACCCCTATCAGGTTATTTTTAACCCTATCTTTGGTTATTAAGTAGAAAAAGTCACTGAAAATAAGCTTATTTTGTATGTATATATTATATTCCTATTATATTACGTATTTATACCCTAGTTAGACTACTTTTTAAAAGTATAATATTCATTGAAAAAATGATCTGGATCAGCAAAATTTTAATGGACACTGTCAAGTATTCAATGATTTTTAAAAAGTTTCTTTCATCCTATCGGTTCTTTCAAGCTCTTTAAACATAGTCTCCGGGCACCTGGAGACCACAGGATACATAAGCCATGAATGAGTCTGAAACATTTGCCTTCCTTCGAGAATCAGGTCCTGCCCTCGGGCATTTGCAGTGTGTGGTGAGACTGTCAGTGCTCTGGCTGAGGCTAGGGAGAGCAAACAGAGCACGGCCAGGAGAAAGCCAATCTAGCAAGTAATATGCCGCTGTGCCCCCACCCACTGCTCTCAGGTCTTCAGGACTGAACAGCTCGCCCTTCCCCGAGTGTAGGATGTTTCGCGTAGTAAAAGAACCAAGACAGTTCCTTACACAACTCATATCCCAAGTATTCTGATCACTGTTACTAATGTTAAACCTCCGTGCTTTTTAAAATGTCCTGGGCATGGACCTCAAAACCATTTTCAGTTCAGTTAGTAAGACTGTGTTTGAAACCATGGCTAAAATACATTGTGTGGTGCCCCAGTCCCCCATGCGTGGCAGGCACTGCCCCATTAAAATCTTTCATGCTTACAGGAGGAGAAAGGTGATTCCCAATGATCACTCTTTTTGTATTATGGGGAAAATGTGGTTCACGGCTCCCAGTGTGTAACTCACTGATGAAGCATTAGCCTAGTATGTGTAAGGTCTTTGGGTTCAGTTTCCAGAGAAACACCTTCACCAAACAATGGTTTCTATGCATGCCTACCACTCATAAAAATTTAAATGAAAAGCAGAAGTCTGGCTATCATTAAAGCCATAAGAGTCAAAGTCATTCACAGGTGGAAGAAAAGTTACGAAGTTGCCCCAAGAAGTGTGTTGAATTTAACCCTGGCTCCTCCTGCCCAGGGTACTGTTCTCTCAGTGTGTAGATGCCGTCCACCAAAACTCATCCCCCTGCCGATCTGTTCTCTCGAAGGTACCTACCAGGGCCAGTGGGCTGGAGGCATGCGGCACGGCTACGGCGTGCGCCAGAGTGTGCCATATGGCATGGCCACGGTGATCCGCTCCCCACTGCGCACCTCGCTGGCCTCACTGCGGAGCGAGCAGAGCAATGGCAGTGTGCTGCACGACGCTGCCGCCGCTGCTGCAGACAACCCGGCTGGCACCAGAGGTGGCTTCGTGCTTAACTTCCACGCGGACACAGAACTGGGCAAGAAGAAGGGTGGCCTCTTCCGACGGGGCTCCCTGCTTGGCAGCATGAAACTGCGCAAGTCCGAATCCAAGTCTTCCATCTCCAGCAAGCGCAGCTCGGTCCGCAGTGATGCGGCCATGAGCAGAATCAGTTCCAGTGATGCCAACTCCACCATCAGCTTCGGAGACGTTGACTGTGATTTTTGCCCTGTGGAAGATCACGTGGATGCCACCACTACGGAAACCTACATGGGCGAGTGGAAGAATGATAAACGCAATGGCTTTGGTGTCAGCGAGCGCTCCAATGGCATGAAGTATGAAGGCGAATGGGCCAATAACAAGAGGCATGGGTACGGCTGCACCGTGTTTCCCGATGGCTCCAAGGAAGAGGGAAAATACAAAAATAATATCCTAGTCCGTGGAATAAGGAAGCAGCTTATACCAATCAGAAATACAAAAACTCGGGAGAAGGTGGATAGAGCAATTGAAGGCGCACAAAGGGCTGCCGCCATGGCCAGAACCAAAGTGGAAATAGCAAATTCAAGGTATGTAAATACAGAACGGTGGTTTGGCTTAAGGTGGGGATGGAGGTTCTCAGAACACTGCCGTTTTCTTTGTCTGCTAATGGTATTACCAAGTAGGTTCCCGGTACACTTAGAGGGGGAAAAAGACTGAAAATGACCGACTCCATCAAAATGAGAGTGAGAAACCATTTTCAAAAGCTGTTGAAGGAACATGGGGAAACCTTTTTCTTCCAAATTTTGTCCCTAATATTTAACAGCCTTATAAAGTTCATTCAGAGATCCTTCTAAGTCCAGAAAGTTAATATTATTAAAAGTACCTCTGAAATACTTCCACTGCTTTGTGTGTTAAAAAAAATCCCTTTGTGTAGAAACATACCTACAATATAGACTATATACTTTTATTACAATATGAAGCTGAACATATTTACAACTCCTCAGTAAGATTATTCTAACCTAGTAGGTTAAAATTCTGTTCACTGAGGCCTTCTAGGTGAAACCAGGTTTGGGAAAGATGCAGAGGTCTAGATTAGGCAAAGGCGGAAAGGATCAGGATGAAATCTGGAATGCACCCTTGAAAAAGCCAGAGCTCCCCCACAGGAACAGACGGTGCCAAGGCTGGGAAGGATCGCCCCAGTCTGCAGGAAAGATTAGATCCCTGGTGTAGTAAAAGGAAGGAGTAGAGAGAACTTGACATGGACAGATGGGATTCTTACTGTGCCAGGGTTGGAAAAAAGTAGAGCAGTCAAGAGGGGGGCTGGCCTAAGCAAGAGAAAACCGGTCGGTAAGAGATGGACAAAGGGATGCAGGAGGAAATGGGTCGGTAAGAGTTTTATCAAGGATAGGTACCGTTGGTTAAACAGGGTGGTTTTACTGGGAGGTTTTAGTTTTAGGGGTTAAGGAGTAGCGATAGTTATGTGTGCTTTAGACATAAATTTGGCATAGAATATTTAAAATCCTGTTTCTGCTTCAGTAGTACTCATTCGCCTTAGTCAGCCGTCCTCTGAAACCACAAAATACTAGCACATCTTCGGGTTTTCATTCTTAGAACTGAATCTGTGAGTAGTCTCGCCCCTTTTGGTTGGACTGTAGGAGGTTTACGGTACTCGAACATCTTTTAAAGATTTATTATTTACGTATAAGTGTCTGTGAGGTTATGTGTACCACATGCTGGGTCCCCTAAAGGTTAGAAGAGGATGTCTGGTGCCCTGGAGCAGGAGCGATAGACACTTTTGAGGTACTGTGTGGGCGCTAGAAACTAAACCCTGGTCCTCTACTAGAGTAGCGCATGCTCTTAATGGCTGAGCTATCACTCCAGCCCCAGTATTTGAACTTTTAATTCACAAAAAAAAAGGCAACTTTATAACTTCTTTAATACTTCAAGAATTTTGAATTCATTTTGTTTTGTTTTGTTTTGTTTTGAGTGCTCCTGTTTTAGGAACACCGTTGGATGAAAAACGCTCTTTTTTGTATTCTATTAGCACTCACAGTTTTCCTCAACTCCAACTTCCACACAGGGTTTCTCCTGCGCTCTTTCCTGAGCATCCTCTGGCATAGTGCTTTTCTTTGATAAGTTCCTTCATGCATTTCAGGGTGCTTGACTCCTGCAGTCTCGCTGGCTTCCGTGGCCCTCGGCTCCCTTTTAGAGCTGACACTGCATCCTTTGCTTGCTGGACCCTAATCTCTAATTTTAAACGCACTCCTAGAATCTTCCATTCCATCCTCTCCTTACAAGTTAGTGACACACTACAGGCAAGTTCAGGCTTAGTGGATGGGATGTAAACCTGTGTGGGACACTCTTGCAAACGATGTAGTCTAACTATTGGTTTTTATGACTTGTTGAGATGAGGAAATCAGCTAACCGAAGGGCACACCTGTGACACAGAGATGATGTCATCAAATGTTTCCCCAAACACTGCCACATTCTTCTGCTGAAAGACTTTGAGACTAGTGTTTAGCTTGGGGACATTGTGTCATATGCTAATATATTGTATCATATAGGTAATAGTTCAGACATCTTTTGATCTTAGACTTTTCAGCAGCTCAGATTTCATTTAAGAACTTAGAAATACCCGATGCATTATGATAAATGAAATAAGCTAGTGACAGGAAGGACAAATACTATCGGGTCCTACTTAAATTCACCATCAGTGACTAGCATGGGCCCCAGCTTTGCTGCTAAAGAAATCTTAGCTAGGAGAGCAGCTGGGATTATTTCAAGAAGGAAGCACGCCTAGCCACCCCTAAGCTTCCATGCCAATGGCTGACCTCAGCCTCCCTGCTATGTAGATGGCATGCCCTCTGAGAGACTTTCAGACCAGGGAGAATATGCCAGCATCCAAACCCAGACCCCTTGTCTTTCCTTCACCCATGTTTAACCGCTGATGGGACCTGACCAGATGGGCTCGCTTCACTGAACTGTTCCTGAGAATGGATCCCTTAGACATTGTGCTTGCTGTAGAGACGTCTGTTTGGGTAGAGAAGACTAAAGGTCATAGCTCCAGAACTTGAATGGCTCTGAGGCCTCATCTGATACACTCCCCTCAGATTCAGAGGTAGAGATTGCCCACTGTCCATCTGATTGCCCTGCTCCCAACACTCAAGGACCATTCTCTGAACTCCTTCCCTGGCAGTTCCTTCAGTCATCCTTGTCCTTTCAGTCCTGTGTCTCATCCAGTCACCATCTACTCCATTGGGGCTCCAGTAATTCCTTAGGTGAGATGCTCAAGAGGCTCCTACTACTTGAGAAAACTGTTGTAAGGAAGAGAAAGCATTTGGTTGACAGAACAAGCGAGAAGAGATCCTTACAGAGCCACACTTCTTTAGAAACTGGATATTCAGGGATGAGTGCAGTCAAAAGCAGTTTGGTGTTAAGCCAAACCTCAGGAAACAGCCGTCAGCGAAGAGGGATGGGGCTCTGTGAGAGTACAGGAGAGCTGACCTAAAGCCACTGAGGACCTAAATGTGCGCTTATGCCAGGGTCACCCCATCACCTCAAGAAGAGGCAAGCAGCTAGGTTAGAGAGCTCACAGGAATGACTCAATCTGCTCACCTGTCCTGCTACATCTCACTGAAGCTCGTGGGGCTCACTGGTACGTAGCTGTCCAGGCTGCAGTCTGGAGATGTCTGTAACCATGGAACAGGACAAGTAGTTGTGAGGGACTTGTGTGGCCACCATCGACCTTCTAGTGACAAGAACAGTCGCTGGACAGGAAATGTTGAGAGGAACACTCCTCTCATCCCTGCTAGCCCCAGATGTACGACTGTCATCACAGGCATGGATGTGAACAGTGCAGAAACAGAGTGTGTATGAAGGGCCCTGGGTTCTGTTGACCTGATGCACAGGTCAGCTTGCTGTGTCTGTCTTCAGAACTCTTGGGTGCACTTCACACTCACCAGTTATAGAGTTAAATATGAAAACACCTCACACTTGTCTGTAGGACTTTTAAAGACTGCTGGGCATACTTTTACAGTTCCATGTCCCCTTCCCACCAGAATGTATCCTTCTTTCAGAGTGGAAGCCCTTCTACTTGAAGCTTTGCCCTGGCTACCCCTGGCCAGCTCTTCAGTCCTCACTCATGTCAGTAAACACCCACAAGGAAGGTACACAGGACCCCATTCTTTCCACCCCATTTCCATGCTCCTCAGTATGGGTTAAGTTCCCATGTTTATCGAGTTGCCATTGCATGGCAGGTTATGTTGATTCCATATGTTCTTCCCATATGGAATGGGAGGAACTGACCCTGCTGGTAGCCCTGGTCCCTTCTGTGTCCCAACATGAGCTTTGATCAGGGCATCAATGGTTAGTGAATTAAATTTTCATCGCTCAAGGTTTGAATACTGCCAGGGCTTCTGACATAGTTTTGCAATGGACCGAAGTTTGAAGGAAGAAAGTGTAGTGCTGACATTTTGTTGTGCCTTAATCTGATGGTCAAGGAAGTGTCGAAGATGTAGAAGTGATGTCACGGTACCCCCTTTCCTGGTGAAACCAGTGGGACTACAGGGTATGGTTAGGGGAAGAGCTGTAAGCTGACAAGGTGTCTCCATTCTCCGCGGGAACTGAGCTGGTCCAGTAATAAACAGTAATTCTTCTACAGATTAGGAACCCCCAGGAATTCAGTCCACAGTGATTATAATAACATTGGTTCATTCTGTGCATGTGACAGCAACAAAGTGAGCCAGAGAGAGCGAGCCTGTCGTCTCCCAAGAGTCAACGTTTCCTGAATAGCCAGCTGTCTTTATTTGATTGGATTTTTATGAAAGTTTCTCTTGTTCTGCCTCTTTCTGGGGGCTGTTTTCTTAATCTGAATCCTATCTGAGCCTAACATAGGAAGTCAAGCAGGATAGGTAGGTCAGTCCTTCATAAAAATCTTTCACTTACTTCATACTTCACTTGTGAGCAGTTAACATTCAAAGTCACCTGTGAGTCAGTGCATGGTATGGATCCAAAATAAACCGATTACTACTGATTCTAGCTGGAGGGGGGGGGAGATTTAGATGGCGAGGTATTCTTCATTCTATACCAAGTTGTGGAAAGTCAAGTCACTAATATTCTCAGAATCTATTAGAAGAGTATTCTTCCTCTTCAGAGTCGAAATGAAAAGTTCTGCTTTTTTTTTTCTGCTATCTTAGTGACTTTTGTTTACTCGGTGTTTTTGAAACAGCCTTACTGCTGTCTTGCCCACACTGGACTTAAACTAGCAATCCTCCTGCCTCAGCCTGCAGAATCTTGGCATGGCGGGCCAAGACACACAGTCTCAAGAGCAATTTCATGTTACTTATTCTGATTTTTTTTTTGGTTATTGTTATTTTACTGGGGGACTAGTTAATTCTTAGGTCTGAGCACAGTACACAATAGTTTCTTGTTTGTTTTGTTTTTACTTTTATTGATTCATTGTAGATTTCACAACATGCATTCCAATCCCACTTATTCCCTTTTCCCCTTGAATCCGCCCTCTGCCCTTGTTACTTCCCCCCAAAACAAAACCAAGTTGAAAGGAAAAACCAAAAACTAAAACAACAAA